CTAATAAGATTGGAAAGGATGTTCGGAAATTAGGCTATTTGTGGGATACTTCATGGCAACGAGAAATGAGTGGATTATTATAGTACTAAATGTCAGAATATGTTCGTTAGCGTGAATTCTGATTTTTAGAGGCATACTAATTAATAAATCACTATGTTCATTTGTAGAATTGATTTAAGGAAAGATAAATGTAAAGTTCAACTTTATTACCAACTGTAAAAATGTGATACCACAAGGAAAAACTGCAACACGTATTTTGTGCTATACACTTTTGCAGAGGGAACCTCGTTGTAGTAGGAGGGTTGCAAGACAACTCCATTCGTGATAATAAGAGAGTCGTTGGACTCAGTCTGTATTAATCACAAGATCATGGAATTCATGTTTTTGAGATAGTCTCGTACTTAGTCTCTAGTAAACTTGAATCGATCCCTAGTTATACACTGAGGAGAGCCAAGACAAAGATGCATAAACTTAGCAAAGTTTTAATGATTTCTGATTTAAGGTCATGAACTCTTATCAGATCTGGGTTCTTATAGAATTACCAAGTAGCAAACTTGCTATTGGACGAAATCTATAAGTGAAGACTTTAGTACAAGGCTTGTTGTTGAATAGCAGACTCAGAAAGAAAGGGATCTATTATGAGTTAGCTTTTTCACCAGTAGCCGTGTTTAAGTCTGTAAATAGAAAGGCTAGTTGTGAATGGTGAACTCAGAAAGAATGGGATCTATTATGAGTTAATTATTTTACCGGTTGCCTAATTCAAAGTTGATGCCATTCATATGAGTTATGAGTTAGGCAAAGTGGTCGTCAAGACATTTTCCTTAACCGGAAGTCTTGTAGGAATATCCACGGAGCAGCACCCAGAAGTTTTCATTGAAAAGGGCTAAGAGCATTTAGTCAGTAGGCTGACAAAGTCCATTAAAGGACTGTGGTGGGCCAATCATTTGGTTGATAGATTCAAATCATGGATTTGATTATTCAACGAATGAGCATTGGGTGTGGCGCAATGGAAACGTGGTGGTATTTTTGTACTATGCGTAAACAACATTTCGATCACTAG